ACTGGGGAAGAACCAGTGAATAGTGACTGTTCATAGGCCAGAGCTGGACGCAACAATTATACTGTGTCCATTCAATGCCTGTAAGATTGCTGAGATCATTACCTGCAGGAACAGCATAATATATCGCCCAGCAAGAGCATATCCAATTACGACACCATATTACATCAAGCTGAAACTGCAAATTATATAAACCATCAAGAGAATATCCAACTGCAACAGAAAATTATATCATGTAGCAGCACATCCAACTGGAGAATATTATTGCTAAATAGGAGAGTTACTATATTATATAACTCAGTAACACTTCAGGCCCCCACCCAGATCCATTGTATCTGGTTGCACTGGGTTATACACTGATCAGCCACACCTTTATGACCACCCACCTGATATTGAGTAGGTCCCCTTTTGCTGCCAAAACAGTCCTGACCTGTTGAGGCATGAACACCACTAGACCTCTGAAGGTATGCTGTGATATCCGGAACCAAGCCATCAGGAGCAGATTCTTTTAGTCCTGTAAGTTGCGAGGTGGGGCCTTCATGGATCGGACTTGTATTTCCAGCACATCCCACAGAGGCTAGCCTGCATTGAGATCTGGAGAATTTGAGGCCAAATCTACACTTCAAACTCATTATTGTGTTCCTCAAATCTTTCTTGAGCCATTTTTTCAGTGTTGGAGGATCTCTTATTCTGCTGAAAGAGGCCACTGCTATCATATAATACCGTTTCCATTAAGGGGTTTACTTGATCACCAAAAATGTTTAGGTAGGTGTTACGTGTCAAGTAACATCCACATGAATGGCAGGATCCAGGGTTTCCCAGCAGAACATTGCCCAAGGCATCACATTGCCTCCACCTAGCCGTCTTCCCATACTGCATCCTGGTGCCATCTCTTCCCCATGTAAGTGTTCCACATGCACCCAATCATCCACATGATGTAGAATGTGATTCATCAGACCAGGCCACCTTCTTCCATTGCTCTGTGGTTCAGTTCTGATGCTCACCTGCCCATTGTAGGTGCTTGTAGCTGCGGACACAAGTCAGCATGAGTATCCTGACCTCCAACTGGAGAATATTATTGCTAAATAGGAGAGTTACTATATTATATAACTCAGTAACACTTCAGGCCCCCACCCAGATACATTGTATCTGGTTGCACTGGGTTATACACAGTGATCAGCCACACCTTTATGACCACCCACCTGATATTGAGTAGGTCCCCTTTTGCTGCCAAAACAGTCCTGACCTGTTGAGGCATGAACACCACTAGACCTCTGAAGGTATGCTGTGATATCCGGAACCAAGCCATCAGGAGCAGATTCTTTTAGTCCTGTAAGTTGCGAGGTGGGGCCTTCATGGATCGGACTTGTATTTCCAGCACATCCCACAGAGGCTAGCCTGCATTGAGATCTGGAGAATTTGAGGCCAAATCTACACTTCAAACTCATTATTGTGTTCCTCAAACCTTTCTTGAGCCATTTTTTCAGTGTTGGAGGATCAGGAGCAGATTCTTTTAGTCCTGTAAGTTGCGAGGTGGGGCCTTCATGGATCGGACTTGTATTTCCAGCACATCCCACAGAGGCTAGCCTGCATTGAGATCTGGAGAATTTGAGGCCAAATCTACACTTCAAACTCATTATTGTGTTCCTCAAACCTTTCTTGATCCATTTTTTCAGTGTTGGAGGATCTCTTATTCTGCTGAAAGAGGCCACTGCTATCATATAATACCGTTTCCATTAAGGGGTTTACTTGATCACCAAAAATGTTTAGGTAGGTGTTACGTGTCAAGTAACATCCACATGAATGGCAGGATCCAGGGTTTCCCAGCAGAACATTGCCCAAGGCATCACATTGCCTCCACCTAGCCTTCTTTCCATACTTCATCCTGGTGCCATCTCTTCCCCATGTGGATGATTGGGTGCATGTGGAACACTTACATCGGGAAGAGATGGCACCAGGATGCAGTATGGGAAGAAGGCTAGGTGGAGGCAATGTGATGCCTTGGCCAATGTTCTGCTTTGATTACCTTTCTTGTTTTCTGGAGTTACTTTTCATTGTAAACTTTTTAGCTTTCAGTACACAGCCTGGTTACCTTCTCTGCTGACATTAAAGGCCAACTCCAGTCAAAATGGATTTTGTTTTAGATAGAGCAAGAAACGATTGGAAGCTCTGTCTGGATTTTATTGCCACCTGGGTAATTTTTTTGAATTTTGTATCACTTACTATTAGGACAGGAAGTAATTGCGCATCTCACGAAAAGAGACACGGACAAAAATCAAATATACATTTTTTTTTTAGGAGAGTGGGGGTAAGAATTCCAACACTTGATTTTATTTCAAGTATTGCCTTCTTGTCCTAATGGTGACCATGCTACACCAACGGCCACAAAATGAACTGGGGCTGTTGTGGAGGGCCAAATTTAAGTCTGCTCAAAACTAATTTTGGACCTGGGAAGGTCCGTAAATACATAAATATGCAGAAAACAAATACCTGTAGCTAGGAATAATAGGTACACCTGCTCATGAAATCTGTCTCTTTCAGATTGGTGGTCCACGGGTGGTAAAATTGGGCAGCTGGGCCACCGTGTTAATGCACTCACCCAAACTGTAATTATTACAGCTGTACAGAGTTGTTCACAAGCTGTGGCCATGATGCCTTGCTTTGCGGTTTGGTAATGGCATTTTTAACTTGGAGTGTAGAGTTTGACAAGTGGCACCACTAGTAAACTCGCCCATTGAATTTAATGAGGAAGCTAACAGGCTCAGAGAGGCATGTTGACAGTGGAGGCATCGTGGGCAGACAGGGACAGCCAAAGGGCCGCTATAGCCCTGGGACTCCAATTTGCCCAGGTCTGTACTACACTGTACGGGAGTCACACAGACAGGAATTGAGGGAAAATCTCCCAAGTGGGGTCAAAGACAAAAATAAAAATCTGAGAAATTTTAACTTTTATCAAAAAAGACAACATTTGGCTGGAGTTGGGCTCAATTCAAAGTGACCTTATGGCTAAAATTCAAAGTGTAATAAATCTATTGCCTGTAAAAAAAGAGAAGAATACTTATGCTGCTCTGCTCAATATAAATTGTTGGCTAGAGTCTTCTTTAGAAACAGACATTTCCAAGAGTGTCAACGTCTTGGTCCCCCTCTGTGCACATTGGTTATTTTTGCCTAAAATGTGCACTCAGAATCTTGAGTGTGCATGGTAGCCAATCAGCTTCTAACCTCAGCTTCTTCAGTTAAGCTTTGGCAATAAATCCTGGAAGCTGATTGGTTTCTATGCAGAGCTGCACCAGATTTTACACTTTCCAATTTTAGTAAATAACCCCCATAGTGACATAGATGTCAGTGGAAGGAAACCACCAAGAGAAGATTAGGAAAACGACTCTCCCGGAAGTGTGGGTTTCTGAGAAATAACCATTTGTCTTAGCAGTGGTGTGGTCAGCAGGAGATTTAAGCAGGTAACCAGTTCATTTTAGCGTGGATTTTAGCAATAGGGCCACTTTAAACATCACTTTCAAAGCACAGGAGATGGAAGCATTCACTAGTCTTCTGCCCTATAATATAAGTAATGTCTGCATCACTCCTTTCTTGAAATATCCAGACACTACTCAGAAAATGTCAGCATCTTGATCAAATATCTGAACCTTATCAAGCCTCTGCAGTTGTCCACCACAATCCATTAGACATGGCAAAGAAAAGCTTGCTGTTGACTGACATGCAAATTAATGTTTTCTTATTTTTTTTATTTTCCTGCTAATAAAACACATATCCAATCCGTAAAAAATGATTAAAGCTGACAGCCCTTAAGTGATCTAAATAGTAAATATTAAAATGAACTCCCGGGGGTTGCAAGGCATCATGGGAAGCCTGAGGCAGCAATAAGGATTCTACTTCCCAGTGTGTCTTTGGGGAGAAAAGAAACACATTTCATTTGAAATAATTAACCCCTGAATCTAGTAACTGATCTAGCTATAAACAAATATAAAGTAAAAAAAAAAAGAAAAAAAAATGTGTAAAATAAGCCATACCTACATAACAAATGAAACATTTGACATTTATATAATTTTGTTTTATGTTTGCTGCCATTTTTGGCTAATGTAGGCTAAAAGGAAACAAATATGTATTTTCAAGAAGTGTTCTTTTTGATCTGCTATTTTAAATGTTTCATTTTTATATGATCTTTTATGTTCATTTGTTGTTGACATATTTGCAGGATTGTGTTTCATGTACATATACTGTATGTAGAATGTGCTTCTAGTGACTATCATGATTAGGTAGGACAGTCTATCTCTGCTAAATATGGTATGTTGTAAGTCCAAATCTTCTTTCAGTTTATAGGCTTTCAGGAGAGAAAGAGGCAATATTATAATCATAGGGCAACATTCATAAGCAGGAAGTATGTGGTGTGACAATTCATGTTCCAGACTGTTTGCTTATCTATACACTAGCGGCTGTTGTCACCTTCAAAGTAGTCCCCTTGTGAAGCATCGCATTTTTTGAGATTACTGTGCCACTGCCAGAAACAGTCCTGGAATTTGTTTTCTGGAACACAGTGCAGTATCTTTGTCGCATCATGTTGGATGTCCGGAATGTCATCAAATCTGTGTCTTATTAAGGCACTTTAACTACTTGCCAACCGCAGATAGCCGAATGACAGCTACACTGCGGCCGGCCAGTTCTCTGGGAGGGCGTCACATGACGTCCTCCCAGAACGTGCTCTCCTGCACGCCCCCCTACGGACACAGCTGATCACGTGATGTAGTAAAAGACCAATCACATCAGCCTTTTACCACGTGATCAGCCGTGGCCAATGACACGCTGATCACCGGGAAATGCAATTGCCGGTTCTCGGCTGTACTTTCCTCATGCTGTCAGAGCGTGAGGAAAGTACTGCCGAGAACTGGCAGTTGTCAGAGCAGGGATCGGAACGATCATCAGGGCTGATGATTGGTGCCCAGCAGTGTCACAAACCAGTTCCGCCCACCTGTGCCCAGCAGTGGACCCATCTGTGCCCAGAAGTGCCCACCAGTGTCACCCAGCAGTGCCACACACCTGTGCCCAGAAGTGCTACCTATCTGTGCCCAGCAGTGCCACCCACCAGTGCCCATCAGTGCAGCCCAGCAGTGCTGCCAGTCATTGCCACCAGTCAGTGCCCAGTGGTTGTGCCAGTCAGTGCCCAGCAGTTGCACCAGTCAATGCCTAGCAGTGCCGCCAGTCGGTGCCCAGCAGTGATGCCAGTCAGTGCCACCTATCAGTGCCGCCTATCCGTGCCACCTCATTAGTGCTGCCTATCAGTGCCCTCCAGTGCTGTCTATCAGTGCCCATCAGTGCTGCCTATCAGTGCCGCTTATCATTGCCCATCAGTGCTGCCTCATCAACACACATCAGTGAAGGAGAAAAATTACCTGTTTGCAAAATTTTATAATAGAAACAAAGAAACTTTTTTTTTTTCAAATTTTTTGCAGTTTTTTTGTTTATAGCGCAAAAAATAAAACACCCAGCGGCGATTAAATACCACCAAAAGAAAGCTCTATTTGTGAGAAAAAAAATGACGGGTACAATCTTGCATGACCTCTCAATTGTCAATCAAAGTGCGACAGCGCTGAAAGCTGAAAATTGGCCTGGTAAAGAAGGGAGTATAAGTGCCCGGTAGGCAAGTGGTTACATTTTGGAAACCGCCAAATATCGCAGGGTGCTGAGTCAGGGGAAGTAAGTGGTTGGTCAAGTTTCAGAATGGATTTCTGGGCCAGGAACTCGCAAACACTTAATACAACATGTGCAGGAGCATTGTTGTGTTGGAGAATCTACTTGTAAGGCCAGAGTTCCAGTCTTTTCCTCTGAACAGATTCTCTGTCCACATTTGCATCTGTCCTTTGCATTTTTGGATGCCCACTTCTTGTGTTATCATGGACATCTTGCCGATCATCCCTAAACTGCCTATGCCATTCAAAAATATTATTATTTTATTATTATTATACAGTATTTATAAAGCGCCAATAGTTCGCTCAGCGCTGTACATTACAATGGGGGACAGAACAATAACAATACAATACAATGCAAAACATGAGGGGATTCCATGTGAGTTCTTTATGGAATGTTCACCATAAACCTGTTATAACAAAGCTAAAGGTTAACTTACACTTTTGGCAATTTTCATACAAAATGTGATGTAATCCGCTGCTCCAGAATCCTGTTTTCTGCCAACAGTGCAACGCACACACGTGTTATATCTTCCACAACTCCGAGTCAAGTGGTCTGTGACCCAGGAGAGTGTGAATTAGAACATGTCAGAACATACTCAAGTATGAATGGCTGTGTGACTCTCCACCATAGTGCTACTCCACAGGAATTCTGGGAATTAAATTGTCAAACCTCGTACAGCCTGTATATGTAATATGGCACATATGTCTGCTCTCACGTACTTTTATAATTGCATATTGTACATAGCAATCATGTTCACAGTGAACTGATTATTTCACATATACTCTATGTACAAAAACAAACAAATTAAAAAGGAAAATCCAATCTCATTTATTTAACCATTGCAGAGATTCAAGGGGATTTACATAAATACAAATTCATCATAATTTAGCATGGAAGGTTTAGGATAATGTGCGAGTGGGTAGACTCAACCCCGTGGGGGCATCACCATTCTACTCATTATTTACATACAATGCGGCATAATTGAGGACTGCCCACATCCAGGAGAAGATTCTAAAAGGAAGAGGACCCTGCACCCTACATGACCAGCCTAAAGATATCTGAAAATGGGAAGTACAAAAAAATACATTGGAAACGTCTGTAGGGATGGGCCCTGAAATTGGAATTTAGGAATTAATAAACTCTTTTTTTAAAGTGATGCAGGAATTTTGTTTCCATGGGACCACTAGACAGGAAGTCAGCAGTGCATTGAAATGTATCTTCTGCAATGCACAGCTTCTACCTTTAACATCTCTCTGTCTAACCAGTTCCTAAAAATTCTATGTGTTCATTCGTTTATAATATTGACACTATAACTTTTTATTTATGTAGAATGGCCCTTTAAGAAAAGAGCTGCAAATAAAGGAGATGTTTCCTGAGGCAAGGTGGCCATGGAGTTGTGAGCAGCCAAGATCTCTGGAGGCTTTTAGGACATTCTCCAGAGATCCCAAGTGCTGAGAATCCATGTATTTCTATGGGGAATTGTAATGTGAACAGGCATTCGATGCCTACGGCCCCAAAATAACTAACAAGGAGATCTTCCATTGAGTGTAGAATTAATTATCCAGAATCATAATAAAACAAGAGATAAATTAAAGAAAAAACACCATGACTGCTGGATAATGTATTAACTAAATGTGCTGCAGGGAATGAACCTATCCTTTTGGTGTAAATGGAATGAGCTTTCTTTTTTTAAAATCTATTTGAAGACCTGCTTATTGTCATTTTTTATGCTCCAACAACCTTTCTGCAAAAGGCAGTGGTACCAATTTTGACACCTGGGCTGAACAATGTCTTGTTCTGTCTACTGATTTGCAGATTTCTCATTGTGAATGATGATTTGTGATAGATAACTTGTAAAGTGTTTAAACTGCCACATGGCCTGGACCTACTTTTGTTTTTCTCTTCAACTTGGGCAGGAGAACAATGGAACACTTCTGTGTTATGCTAGTTGGGTACATAAAACTGTTCAAACTAATAGTTTTCCTTAAGGAAACACAGGCCAGGCAAGCAGGAGAGCACAAACACACAGAGGCACTGGGAACGGGTAGAGGTGCACAAAATCACAGGGGGTTCACAAGAAGCAGGTTGCAGGTGAAGGTGTGTTGGATCAGAGAAGCAGGATGTGGACAACATGCAGCAAGCTGAAGCACTCGGGGCAACATACAGGAGCTGATAAGCAGGTACTGAAAGGACACAAAGAATGTCAAAAGTACAGTTGTCCTTTCAAACTGAAAGAAACTCTGCAACACTTCTCAGGGCAAAATATATTTCTAATTTCACCCCCATATCTGCCCTAGGTGTCAAAGGCTTGTTCATGTATACCACCCTTTATCTCACTGATCTAACTGTAGCACCGACCTCAAACCAGGCTGGCTGTTTGATCTCAATTTGCATTCCCTGACTGGCACATGGCAGCCAGGCACACAGTAGTTCATAATCACTCAAGTTAGAAACTGGGCCATGCATGTCTTTTTGCAGTTTATGTAGCTGGTTTAACTTGGGTTAGGTATGGGTGAGCCTTGGGATACTCCAAAACTAGCAGAAATGCAGTAGAGGGTATTTGTAACTGATTTGCTCCTTCATGGTGTGACCACCTTTGGAGTTTGGAGTTTAAAGCGGAACTCCACCCAAGAGGGAAAATCCCCTTTTTAAGGCCTGCTCCCCCACTCCTGATAAAGAAATTGGAGCTTTTAGGGAGCGGGTACCCCACTTCCACTTTCGATCTGACTGCCTAGCTGAAGTGAAAGTTCTCCTCCCACCCTCTTCTGAGACACGTCACCAGGTGCCCAGAGTTGAGATGCTGACACGTGGGACAGGGCTCACCTGGAAAAAATAGTTGAGGACATGCTGGGTCGTGGAACAGGTAAGTGTCTGTTTTTTAAAATTCAGCAGCTATGTGGTTTGTTTTTACAATTTTTTTACAGGAAGCTGGAGAACCACTTTAAAGAACTACAACACAAAGGGCCTGTTGGCAGAGGTATAATGCTGAGTCAAGAAATTGTGGTGAGCTGTCCCAAAGGTGGTAAGGAAAATCTCTAGGATCCTTGAGGCTAGTACTCACTGTGCCCTGCGTACTGTAATGCTTCCTGTATCACCAGCCAGCCCCTGGACTGCATGTGTCTGGCCTGGATGCTCTACAAAATTTCCTTCACTGCTTCATGGTACTCTGGAAGAAGGTTCTCAAGCTCTAGCTGGAGCTGAGACCCCAAAAAGGATTTGTGTACTTTAGCTCACAGCTCAGAGGCCTCAGGCTGGGTTTTTTCTCCTCCAGGAAAAAGCGACTGCTGTCCTAGGCCCCATTTATACCCCTCTCAGCTTCCTGCTGGTCACTCTCTTGACCAGGGATTGGCTGAAGATGTAGGAATATTTAGGCCAGGGTCTGCCTTTCCCAACCACCAGTGGAATACTACCTGCACCAGTAGAACCCAGATCAAAAGTGATTGAGCACTGTTCCCCTGCTTCAGGGAAGCCAAAAACTAAATTTGCCTCAACTATAGCAACCTAACTAGGAGGGTGCTACATAAGATTAACAAACAATAATTCTGGATTTACTGCACTGGAAGAAAAAAAAAAAAAGAACTCAATGCTCACCTCACACTTGCTGGCCCCCAAAAATATCAGTGCCATGTACAGAAACTGCAGAAAAATTTTGTTTTCCCTTTGTAAGAAATTCAAACCCTTTTTCTTTTGAAAAAAAAAAATAAAAAACTCACTCACCTCACAGCCAAAAAATATCAGTGCCATGTACAGAAACTCTCCCAGAAATTGCACTTCCTGCTATACCCATCAGTTTGTCTCCTATTACAATGCTCGGGCTGATCATGTGACTAGACCAGACAGCCCTCCTAAGTGAGCATTCATTAAGTGGGCAGTGATTGCAGGAGGTAAGATGGAAGCGGATTCCATGCTGAGTACACTGGTACATTTTTTCAATGTATGTTACTGATCTATGGAACATTGTTATTTAGGTAATAGTAGACTTTTGAGAGTCTGGAGTTGGTTTATTGAAGGCAAATAGGCTGTTCACTTTGCAAGGGAATTTGCATCAGAGCTTAGTGAATGAAATAACGCTCTGCTGAGTTCCATCGTCTAATCATGTGCAAGCAAAATGCTGTTTTGTTTCCCTTGCATGTGATTGGGTATTATTTGAAAAGTAAATTTTACTTTATTCACTATACTCTGGGGAAAATGATCTTGCAATGTGCGACTTCCTTTTCCAATTGAACAGCATACTCGCTTTAGTAAATCAAACCCCCCCCCCCCCCCCGTCTCTGCTGCAGGTATAAAAGAAAAAAAAAAACCTGATATTTCCAAGTAGTGTTGGCACTTACAGTTAAGCCCCACCCCTCACATTCCTTATCATGGCTTAGGAATCTACTCCCACCTGTGGAAAAGTGATTGACCAGAGCCGAAGAGTGGATGATGGGGAAAGCCACAGAATGGAAACAAAAAATTCAGTTGGCTGATTGTTTGGCAGTGGTGAGAGCCCTGAAAAGGGGTGCAGAGTCTGGTTTTCATCGGAGCTCCTAGAGGTGCAGATGTTGTGCTGTAGGCAGTATCAAGGTTGTGGTCCTCTGGCTCACCTGAGCAGGCTGCAACCAAGAGCAGGTGAGACTCTCTTGCAGCACTGGTGCACTTGCCATTACGGCAGCAGGGTACAGTGGGAAATAGCCAGAGAACACTAAAATAGATAGATAATTGAGAGACAC